CTGCTCTCTCGAGAATCAGGAAACCATAGATGCCACCACACTAAGGAAGGAAGGGAGACGAGAACCATGTGGCACTATAGATGCCACCACACTAAGGAAGGAAGGGAGACGAGAACCATGTGGCACTATAGATGCCACCACACTAAGGAAGGAAGAGAGACGAGAACCATGTGGCACTATAGATGCCACCACACTAAGGAAGGAAGGGAGACGAGAACCATGTGGCACTATAGATGCCACCACACTAAGGAAGGAAGAGAGACGAGAACCATGTGGCACTATAGATGCCACCACACTAAGGAAGGAAGGGAGACGAGAACCATGTGGCACTATAGATGCGACCACACTAAGGAAGGAATGGAGACGAGAACCATGTGGCACTATAGATGCCACCACACTAAGGAAGGAAGGGAGACGAGAACCATGTGGCACTATAGATGCCACCACACTAAGGAAGGAAGAGAGACGAGAACCATGTGGCACTATAGATGCCACCACACTAAGGAAGGAAGGGAGACGAGAACCATGTGGCACTATAGATGCCACCACACTAAGGAAGGAAGGGAGACGAGAACCATGTGGCACTATAGATGCCACCACACTAAGGAAGGAAGGGAGACGAGAACCATGTGGCACTATAGATGCCACCACACTAAGGAAGGAAGAGAGACGAGAACCATGTGGCACTATAGATGCCACCACACTAAGGAAGGAAGGGAGACGAGAACCATGTGGCACTATAGATGCTACGACACTAAGGAAGGAAGGGAGACGAGAACCATGTGGCACTATAGATGCCACGACAGTAAGGAAGGAAGGGAGACGAGAACCATGTGGCACTATAGATGCCACAACACTAAGGAAGAGAGACGAGAACCATGTGGCACTATAGATGCTACGACACTAAGGAAGGAAGGGAGACGAGAACCATGTGGCACTATAGATGCTACGACACTAAGGAAGAGAGACGAGAACCATGTGGCACTATAGATGCTACGACACTAAGGAAGGAAGGGAGACGAGAACCATGTGGCACTATAGATGCCACGGCACTAAGGAAGGAAGAGAGACGAGAACCATGTGGCACTATAGATGCCACGGCACTAAGGAAGGAAGAGAGACGAGAACCATGTGGCACTATAGATGCTACGACACTAAGGAAGAGAGACGAGAACCATGTGGCACTATAGATGCTACGACACTAAGGAAGGAAGGGAGACGAGAACCATGTGGCACTATAGATGCCACGGCACTAAGGAAGGAAGAGAGACGAGAACCATGTGGCACTATAGATGTTACGACACTAAGGAAGAGAGACGAGAACCATGTGGCACTATAGATGCCACCACACTTCTGTGGAACCAGGTCTGCAAGAAGGAGGGTAAAGAGACAGGAGAGTGACGCTGTACAGCAGATACCATAAACATAACGGCAGAACAGAGTCCACAAGAAGGAGGAAGGAAACCTGTTTGGAACTAAATAATGTTCAGTATTTAACCATGTTACATTGTTCTGTATCAAAAATAAACCTAAGATACACTGCAAAAAGTGTTAAGTAATACATCTAAAAATGCTCAAATTTGTCAAAATGTGTCTTTGCATTTTACAGACCAAAGCGCTTTACAATGTTCAGAGTTCAGATATTGTTCCATTCTCTCCACACGGTGAAGCGAGACCTGAACACACTGGTCCATCAAAGCCTCCGACCAAACACCCTCCGTTCACTCATTCACTCATTCCATTCAGACATGGTACATGGTTTTGGTTGGAAGGGGAAACCGGAGCACTCGGAGGAAACCTATGCGGACATGGGAAGAACATGCAAACTCCACTCAGAGAGGCCCTGTTCCGACCGGGAATCGAACCCAAGACCTTCTTGCTGAGAAGTGAGTGTGCTAACACTAAGGAAGGAAGGGAGACGAGAACCATGTGGCACTATAGATGCCACCACACTAAGGAAGGAATGGAGACGAGAACCATGTGGCACTATAGATGCCACGACACTAAGGAAGGAAGAGAGACGAGAACCATGTGGCACTATAGATGCCACCACACTAAGGAAGGAAGAGAGACGAGAACCATGTGGCACTATAGATGCCACCACACTAAGGAAGGAAGGGAGACGAGAACCATGTGGCACTATAGATGCCACCACACTAAGGAAGGAAGAGAGACGAGAACCATGTGGCACTATAGATGCTACGACACTAAGGAAGGAAGGGAGACGAGAACCATGTGGCACTATAGATGCCACCACACTAAGGAAGGAAGAGAGACGAGAACCATGTGGCACTATAGATGCCACCACACTAAGGAAGGAAGAGAGACGAGAACCATGTGGCACTATAGATGCTACGACACTAAGGAAGGAAGGGAGACGAGAACCATGTGGCACTATAGATGCCACGACACTAAGGAAGGAAGAGAGACGAGAACCATGTGGCACTATAGATGCCACCACACTAAGGAAGGAAGAGAGACGAGAACCATGTGGCACTATAGATGCCACCACACTAAGGAAGGAAGGGAGACGAGAACCATGTGGCACTATAGATGCCACCACACTAAGGAAGGAAGGGAGACGAGAACCATGTGGCACTATAGATGCCACCACACTAAGGAAGGAAGGGAGACGAGAACCATGTGGCACTATAGATGCCACCACACTAAGGAAGGAAGGGAGACGAGAACCATGTGGCACTATAGATGCCACCACACTAAGGAAGGAAGGGAGACGAGAACCATGTGGCACTATAGATGCCACCACACTAAGGAAGGAAGGGAGACGAGAACCATGTGGCACTATAGATGCCACCACACTAAGGAAGGAAGGGAGACGAGAACCATGTGGCACTATAGATGCTACGACACTAAGGAAGGAAGGGAGACGAGAACCATGTGGCACTATAGATGCCACGACACTAAGGAAGGAATGGAGACGAGAACCATGTGGCACTATAGATGCCACGACACTAAGGAAGGAAGAGAGACGAGAACCATGTGGCACTATAGATGCCACCACACTAAGGAAGGAAGAGAGACGAGAACCATGTGGCACTATAGATGCCACCACACTAAGGAAGGAAGGGAGACGAGAACCATGTGGCACTATAGATGCCACCACACTAAGGAAGGAAGGGAGACGAGAACCATGTGGCACTATAGATGCCACCACACTAAGGAAGGAAGGGAGACGAGAACCATGTGGCACTATAGATGCCACCACACTAAGGAAGGAAGAGAGACGAGAACCATGTGGCACTATAGATGCCACCACACTAAGGAAGGAAGGGAGACGAGAACCATGTGGCACTATAGATGCCACGACACTAAGGAAGGAAGGGAGACGAGAACCATGTGGCACTATAGATGCCACGACAGTAAGGAGGGAAGGGAGACGAGAACCATGTGGCACTATAGATGCCACAACACTAAGGAAGAGAGACGAGAACCATGTGGCACTATAGATGCTACGACACTAAGGAAGGAAGGGAGACGAGAACCATGTGGCACTATAGATGCTACGACACTAAGGAAGAGAGACGAGAACCATGTGGCACTATAGATGCTACGACACTAAGGAAGGAAGAGAGACGAGAACCATGTGGCACTATAGATGCTACGACACTAAGGAAGGAAGGGAGACGAGAACCATGTGGCACTATAGATGCCACGACACTAAGGAAGGAAGAGAGACGAGAACCATGTGGCACTATAGATGCTACGACACTAAGGAAGAGAGACGAGAACCATGTGGCACTATAGATGCTACGACACTAAGGAAGAGAGACGAGAACCATGTGGCACTATAGATGCTACGACACTAAGGAAGAGAGACGAGAACCATGTGGCACTATAGATGCTACGACACTAAGGAAGGAAGGGAGACGAGAACCATGTGGCACTATAGATGCCACGACACTAAGGAAGGAAGAGAGACGAGAACCATGTGGCACTATAGATGCTACGACACTAAGGAAGGAAGGGAGACGAGAACCATGTGGCACTATAGATGCCACCACACTAAGGAAGGAAGAGAGACGAGAACCATGTGGCACTATAGATGCCACCACACTTCTGTGGAACCAGGTGTGCAAGAAGGAGGGTAAAGAGACAGGAGAGTGACGCTGTACAGCAGATACCATAAACATAACGGCAGAACAGAGTCCACAAGAAGGAGGAAGGAAACCTGTTTGGAACTAAATAATGTTCAGTATTTAACCATGTTACATTGTTCTGTATCAAAAATAAACCTAAGATACACTGCAAAAAGTGTTAAGTAATACATCTAAAAATGCTCAAATTTGTCAAAATGTGTCTTTGCATTTTACAGACCAAAGCGCTTTACAATGTTCAGAGTTCAGATATTGTTCCATTCTCTCCACACGGTGAAGCGAGACCTGAACACACTGGTCCATCAAAGCCTCCGACCAAACACCCTCCGTTCACTCATTCACTCATTCCATTCAGACATGGTACATGGTTTTGGTTGGAAGGGGAAACCGGAGCACTCGGAGGAAACCTATGCGGACATGGGAAGAACATGCAAACTCCACTCAGAGAGGCCCTGTTCCGACCGGGAATCGAACCCAAGACCTTCTTGCTGAGAAGTGAGTGTGCTAACCACGCTAACCAGGAAAGGTGGCTGAGTATAACAAGAACCAGAAGGAACCGTATTATAAAATAAATGTGTAACATGGGTAAAAACTACAAAAGTGGTTAAACACAGCCTCAGGTCACACACTCTCCACAGCGGGTCAGAGCGGAGCAGGAGCCACAGTGAGTGAGATGGAAGGCCTCACCTATAGACTCGCCCCGGGACAGGTGAGCGATGGGGGAGGCACAGGGGTGGTAGCGCCCTCCACTGGCCTGGGGGTGGTACAGGTAGGTGCGCGTGGGCGAGGCCAGGCTGTGGTAGTGCTGAGGCTGGAGCGAGTCCAGGGAGTGGATGGGGTGAGCTGAGATGACCGCTGCGTACGACACATGAAGCAATGACACACAATGACACACAATGACACACACAATGACACACACACAATGACACACAATGACACACAATGAGACACAATGAGACACAATGAGACGCAATGAGAGAGAGAGGAGAGGGAGGAGAGAGGAGAGAGAGAGAGGGAGAGAGAGGAGAGAGAGGGGAGAGAGAGAGAGAGAGAGAGAGAGGGGAGAGAGGAGAGAGAGGAGAGAGAGGAGAGAGGAGAGAGAGGGGAGAGAGAGGGGGAGAGAGAGAGAGAGAGAGAGAGAGAGAGAGAGAGGAGAGAGAGAGGAGAGAGGGGAGAGAGAGAGGAGAGGGAGGAGAGAGAGAAGAGAGGGGAGAGAGAGAGAGAGAGAGAGAGGAGAGGAGAGAGGGGAGAGAGAGTAGAGAGAGGAGAGAGAGAGGAGAGAGGGGAGACAGACGAGAGGGAGGAGAGAGAGAGAGAGAAGAGGGAGGCGAGAGAGAGAGGAGAGAGAGGGGAGAGGAGAGGAGAGGGAGGAGAGAGAGAGGAGAGACAGGGGAGAGAGGAGAGGGAGGGGGGAGACAGAGGAGAGGAAGGAGAGAGAGGGGAAAGAGAGAGGAGAGGGAGAAGAGAGAGGAGAGAGAGAGGAGAGAGAGGGGGAGAGAGAGGAGAGAGAGGAGAGGAGAGGAGAGAGAGGAGAGAGGGGAGAGAGAGGAGAGAGAGAGGAGAGGGAGGGGGGAGACAGAGGAGAGGGAGGAGAGAGAGGAGAGAGGGGAGAGAGGGATGAGAGAGAGAGAGAGAGAGGAGAGGGGAGGGGAGAGAGAGGAGAGAGGGGAAAGAGAGGAGAGGGAGGGGGAGACAGAGGAGAGGGAGGAGAGAGAGAGAGGAAGAGAGGAGATGCACAAGCATGGGATGTCCACAGATGACACTTTCCTCTCGTATAAGACCCTCGTCCCACTCCTCACCCTCTGCACAGGAGCTGCCCTGGTCTCCCCCTCCCTCCCCCTCCCTCCCCCTCTCTCCCCCTCCCTCCCACACACACTTACGCTGAGGCGGCTGGGCATCAAACGGCATCATCATTTTAGGCCTCATCCCGCGGCGGCCTCCCAGAGTCGACATGCCGTCCTCAGACTCGAGCCCTAAAACGCAGGCTCAGCTTTAATTCAAATTCAGCCGATTTTAAATGTTTTGGAAAAGGACTTTTTATTCAATAGTTTAAGGAGAGTGAGTGAAGCAGACGATGAGAGGCATGAAGAAGCAACACTCAAACAAACGACGTTTGGACGTTCATTTAAGACACACATTAGCCTCCTGCAGCTCGGGAGACACCAGTAGCATTAGCTCTCCCTGTAGCTCCCAAAGGATTTAGAATTGACATTATACAGCTATAGCAATGCCCTGTTTTGTGTGTGTGTGTGTGTGTGCGTGTGTGTGTGTGTGTGTGTGTGCGTGTGTGTGTGTATGTGTGTGTGCGTGCATGTGCGTGTGTGTGTGTGTGTGTGTGTGTGTGTGTGTGTGTGTGTGTGTGTGTGCGTGTGTGTGTGTGTGTGTGTGTGTGTGTGTGTGTGTGTGTGTGTGTGTGTGTGTGTGTGTGTGTGTGTGTGTGTGTGTGAGGAGAGACTGCAGAAAAAACCCGCACATTGAAATCAGACATGGCTCAAATCTGAATTAAGACACATGTGGAAGAAGGAGCAGGGCCCTTACCCCACCGCTGTCAGACTGTACAATGAGTCACTAATGCACTAGGACTGAAAGAAAATAAAACCTGCACTGCTATTGCCACTCTACTTTTATTGCCACATTTTTATCGTACATATTTATATCCTGCACAGACTATATTTCTAACCTTAAACACGTTTCACACTTCTGCCTGATTCTGTCTGTGCCAAATGTGACCTGTACATTTCTCAATCAGAGATCAATAATCTCGATCTTATCTTATGGAAGTAATGGAATACAGACTAAAACTGTTTGTCCAATATCAAACATTTAGTTTTAAGGCCTGTGTGTGGATTTCTCTCTCATTCATCATTTTGTTCTGATACAGCAGTTCTCTGGAGGAGGAGGTTGGAGACCCCTGATGCAGACTGTAAACAGCAGACACACGGACACAGTGTTATGCCGCCCTCTCCTGGCTGCAGAGGGAATTACCACCACAATAACAAACTAAAGCAGCTTGTGCAAAGACTGAGATTAGATTTAATTCATTCCCAGTGTTTTGTAACTGATGATGCAACACTGACATTTCCTCACAGTGGGACGCACAAAGGATCTCTTCATCTTCATGTAAATTTGACTCCAAAAACATGAAAGTGTATTTTCTCAGCAACATTTTGGACATTTCCCGAGTCTCTGGAGCTGCAATGGTTTCTGTCCTCTCTACTCTCGCATCGGGGGCAGTCTGAGTCTGAGTCTGAGCCCTGAGCCTGAGCCTGAGCCTGAGCCTGAGCCTGAGTCTGAGCCTGAGTCTGAGTCTTAGTCTGAGTCAGAGAGTGTGGAGCAGGTGAGAGAGCGGGTCTTTGAAGCTGCTCAGAGGTTCTCCACAGGGGGGCGCTCTCTGCAGGAGGCAGACTTTGCTCTGAACTCTCTCTGTAGCTATTTGGAGGAAACGTGTTTGTAATAAAGTGTCTCCAGTGTTTTGATTATTGATTCAAAGACTGTAGATGTGTTTGAAGTTACCACGGCAACGATAGAGGAAGTAGAGTGTGTGAAGTTACCAAGGCAACGATAGAGGAAAACGGGCTCTGATAAGTTTGTTGAAGTCTTTGGTACAAGTTTCTCTCATCGTCAGAAACAGACCTGAGGTTGTTTTTAGCTCCATCCTCTGTGAAGTCTGTGATGTTATGGAAAGAATTCTGTCTTTTAAAATAAAAGTATTGCATCTAATTTACTTCAGGAAGTTTGCCTTTGCCCAGTAAGTGTCTGTCAGACCAGTACAGTGGTGAGGTCAGACCAGTACAGTGGTGTGGTCAGACCAGTACAGTGGTGTGGTCAGACCAGTACAGTGTGGTGAGACCAGTACAGTGGTGTGGTCAGACCAGGGTACTTGTGGATACTACATGAATGAACCGACCTCTGTAGGAGTTGCGTCGCTGCTGCAGGTGGCTGGCCTCGATCACGCTGTCCGCGGGGGTGATGTCCTGGGACGAGCGGGGGATGGGGACTGGTCCATGGGCTTCAGCCTCTCGTGATGGATCCACAGGTCTTTGGAGGTACCCTTGTACTAGTGCAAACCATTGGAGGAGGCAGAGAGAGAGACAGAGAGACAGAGAGACAGAGAGAGAGAGAGAGAGAGATTGGAAATAATAAATTATTTGTCTAGCACAGCTCATACAAAAGGTAAAGCATTAACATCATATGATGTTACATACCTCTCTGGTCTCTCTCTGGTCTCTCTCTCTGGTCTCTCTCTGGTCTCTCTCTCTGGTCTCTCTCTCTGGTCTCTCTCTCTGGTCTCTCTCTGGTCTCTCTCTCTGGTCTCTCTCTGGTCTCTCTCTGGTCTCTCTCTCTGGTCTCTCTCTCTGGTCTCTCTCTGGATCTCTCTCTGGTCTCTCTCTCTGGTCTCTCTCTGGTCTCTCTCTGGTCTCTCTCTGGTCTCTCTCTCTGGTCCCTCTCTCTGGTCTCTCTCTCTGGTCTCTCTCTCTGGTCTCTCTCTCTGGTCTCTCTCTCTGGTCTCTCTCTGGTCTCTCTCTGGTCTCTCTCTCTGGTCTCTCTCTGGTCTCTCTCTGGTCTCTCTCTGGTCTCTCTCTCTGGTCTCTCTCTCTGGTCTCTCTCTGGTCTCTCTCTGGTCTCTCTCTCTGGTCTCTCTCTCTGGTCTCTCTCTGGTCTCTCTCTGGTCTCTCTCTCTGGTCTCTCTCTCTGGTCTCTCTCTGGTCTCTCTCTGGTCTCTCTCTGGTCTCTCTCTCTGGTCTCTCTCTCTGGTCTCTCTCTCTGGTCTCTCTCTCTGGTCTCTCTCTGGTCTCTCTCTCTGGTCTCTCTCTCTGGTCTCTCTCTGGTCTCTCTCTGGTCTCTCTCTGGTCTCTCTCTGGTCTCTCTCTGGTCCCTCTCTCTGGTCTCTCTCTCTGGTCTCTCTCTCTGGTCTCTCTCTCTGGTCTCTCTCTCTGGTCTCTCTCTCTGGTCTCTCTCTCTGGTCTCTCTCTCTGGTCTCTCTCTCTGGTCTGGTCTCTCTCTGGTCTCTCTCTCTGGTCTCTCTCTGGTCTCTCTCTGGTCTCTCTCTCTGGTCTCTCTCTCTGGTCTCTCTCTCTGGTCTCTCTCTCTGGTCTCTCTCTCTGGTCTCTCTCTCTCTCTCTCTTTGAGTCTTTGAATATGTACTGTTGTGTATTTGAGGATTCCGCTCCATGTCTCTCTTCAAACGGTTCTCCTTAATCTAGTTCATGATGACAAAATACTGTGCATTTTAAATCCAGGCTGATCCATAATTGATGCGGTGCAGAGGAGGCAGATCTCGCTTAGACTCACACTCAATCTATAAAATATTATGTCTTTATGTGTTAAGATCTGCACAGAACCATCCGTCTGCTCCACCATGGTACCACAACGATCAGTTATAGGAGCAGCGGGTTTCTCTCTTTACCTGTAGGAAGTGAGTTATGCTAACGCTAGATTTTATACTAGCTTCTGTATTATGCTAAAGATATAGATTTTACACGAGCTTGGTCCCTATCTCTGGTCTCTCCATCTCTGGTCTCCATCTCTGGTCTCCATCTCCATCTCTGGTCTCCATCTCTGGTCTCCATCTCCATCTCTGGTCTCCATCTCTGGTCTCCATCTCTGGTCTCCATCTCTGGTCTCCATCTCTGGTCTCCATCTCCATCTCTGGTCTCCATCTCTGGTCTCCATCTCTGGTCTCCATCTGTGGTCTCCATCTCTGGTCTCCATCTCTGGTCTCCATCTCTGGTCTCCATCTCTGGTCTCCATCTCCATCTCTGGTCTCCATCTCTGGTCTCCATCTCTGGTCTCCATCTCTGGTCTCCATCTGTGGTCTCCATCTCTGGTCTCCATCTCTGGTCTCCATCTCTGGTCTCCATCTCTGGTCTCCATCTCTGGTCTCCATCTCTGGTCTCAATCTCTGGTCTCTATCTCTGGTCTCCATCTCTGGTCTCTATCTCTGGTCTCTCTCTCTGGTCTCTCTCTCTGGTCTCTCTCTCTGGTCTCTCTCTCTGGTCTCTCTCTCTGGTCTCTCTCTCTCTGGTCTCTCTCTGGTCTCTCTCTCGGGTCTCTCTCTCTCTCTGGTCTCTCTCTCTGGTCTCTCTCTCTGGTCTCTCTCTCGGGTCTCTCTCTCGGGTCTCTCTCTCGGGTCTCTCTCTCGGGTCTCTCTCTCGGGTCTCTCTCTCGGGTCTCTCTCTCTGGTCTCTCTCTCGGGTCTCTCTCTCGGGTCTCTCTCTCGGGTCTCTCTCTCGGGTCTCTCTCTCGGGTCTCTCTCTCTGGTCTCTCTCTCTGGTCTCTCTCTCTGGTCTCTCTCTCGGGTCTCTCTCTGGTCTCTCTCTCTGGTCTCTCTCTCTGGTCTCTCTCTCTGGTCTCTCTCTCTGGTCTCTCTCTCGGGTCTCTCTCTCGGGTCTCTCTCTCGGGTCTCTCTCTCTGGTCTCTCTCTCGGGTCTCTCTCTCTGGTCTCTCTCTCTGGTCTCTCTCTGGTCTCTCTCTGGTCTCTCTCTGGTCTCTCTCTGGTCTCTCTCTCTGGTCTCTCTCTGGTCTCTCTCTGGTCTCTCTCTCTGGTCTCTCTCTCTGGTCTCTCTCTCTGGTCTCTCTCTCTGGTCTCTCTTACTTCTTCTGGTGTGAGTTGGTGCGTCTGGTACAGAGGAAGGCTCCGACGATGACTACGATGATGGTGAAGGCTCCGACCGAGATGATGACGATGACGAGCAGGTGGTTCTCGTTACTGGGGACTCCTGCGGATCAAAGGTACAAGTCCCTGTGAGTCACAATCTGATCTGACATCATTAAAGGGCCCTAATCCGTCATCATTAAAGGGCCCTACTGTGACATAATTAAATGGCCCTAATCTGTCATCATTAAAGGGCCCTAATCCGTCATCATTAAAGGGCCCTAATCTGTCATTATTCATTCATTTCATTCATTCATTTATTTATTTAATTTTAAATTTAATTCATTATTTTCCCACCTCTGCACCTTCTCCACCGACTCCCACTGATGACTGCTGTCGTTGTGTCCTTGGGCAAGACACTTAACCCCACTTTGCCCAAAGCCCCCACTGAAAGATCAAGGCTATGCTCACACTCAGAGAGCAGCCGTCCTCCTGTGGACTCACCACCTGCAGAGGGTCAGTGAGGGGCTGGTGCATCTCTGACTGCCACCCCCCTGACCCAGAAATGGATTAAAGGGTAGAAAATGGATGGATGGATGGATTTATTTATTTATTTCAGGCAGAGGGCAACATAGAATATACAGCAGAAAACAAAACAAAACAAAAAACAATCCACTTCCACCTGAAAGGGAGTGGGAAGAAGAAAACTTATTTAATCCCACCCCCAGTTCCCTACTCAGAGCTCAACAGACTCAACTTCACTGTCACTTGTTTAAAAGGTTCTACAAATTATAACATGGTGGCATTTCCACATCTGTCAACAATTTATGACAGCGCAACAAAAATGTATACCAACAATGTAATGAAAATTTAACAATACCAACAATGGTAAAGAACAATATACCAGTAATGGTAAGGAACAAAATAAACCAACGATAGCAAGGAAACATTGAGCACTTGTAACACTATGAGACAGCAGTTTAAATTAAAGACCCACATCTCTATATTTTGACCAGACCCGATGTTTATATAAAAGTTTGAATCGATGGACAGTTTGGCATTGCTTGTGTTGTGAGTCCAGTTTGTTCCAGAGTTTCAGTCCACATACAGACACACAGAAGCGTTTACGAGTGTTTTGAGCTCTCTGCAATGAAAAATATCCAAAACCTCTCAAGTTATAAGCTCGCACTGGGGTTATAAAAAAACGTTGTAGGTTAGGCGGTAATAATTTGTTGAATGCTTTGTATAAGACTATAGCTGTACTATATTTTACAAGGTCATCAAATTTTAACAACTTTGACTGCATAAACAGATTATGAGTATGGTCTAGGAAACCAACCTTGTGAATGATCCGCATTGCTCTTTTCTGTAAGATGATCAGAGGATTAATTGTATTCTTGTAAGTATTCCCCCACACTTCAACACAATACGTAAGGTATGGGAGTACCAAGGTGCAGTATAGAGTACGGAGTGCGTTTCCATCAAGGTATAATTTAGCTTTATTTATAATTGAGAGGCTTTTTGAGATTTTTGTTTTAATGTGTCTGACATGGGGTTTCCATGACAATTTACTATCAATAATTACGCCCAAAAATGTTGTCTCCTTTACGATTTCAACTTGGGTACCATCAATACTTATGGTCTGATCAGACATAGCATTACGATTACCAAACATCATTATCTTAGTTTTGTTTATATTCAAGGATAATTTATTTGTGTCCATCCACTTTTCTATTGTATTGAGTTCCCTGTTTACCGTCTCTACAAGGTCATTATAATCATCACTACAGTAAAATATATTAGTGTCGTCTGCAAATAGTATGAGATTCAGATCTTTGGACGTACTAAAAATATCATTTATATACACATTAAACAGTTTTGGCCCCAACACTGACCCCTGGGGGACACCACAAGCAACACCAAGAGTATCTGATAAATGCTGACCCATTTTAACAAACTGTACTCTCTCTGTTAAATAACTTTTTAACCAATCCCCAGCCAGCCCCCTAATCCCATATCTTTCCATTTTATTTAGTAGGATTGAGTGATTTATTGTATCAAAGGCTTTTTTTAGATCAATAAAAACACCAACTGCATACTTTTTTTGCTCCAGTGCATTAGTAATTTCTTCAACAGCTTCAATTATTGCCATTGAGGTAGTTCTCTTGGATCTAAAACCATACTGGCCTTCATTAATTATATGATGCTTTTCAAGAAACTTTTCAAGTCGAGAATTGAAAAGCTTCTCTAACATTTTTGAGAACTGAGGCAAAAGAGAGATTGGTCTGTAGTTTGTAAAAGCGTGTTTGTTTTCATTTTTGAAGAGTGAAATTACTTTAGCGATTTTCATTTTACTTGGAAAACAGCCAGTAAGGAATGACAAGTTACAGATATAAGTTAGGGGTTTTACAATATTCAGTATAACTTTTTTAACCAATGTCATGTTGATATCATGACAATCAGTAGAGAACTTACTTTTACACATCCGCACAATGTTTGTCACTTCCTGCTCGTTTGTAGGTGAGAGGAAGAAAGACAAGGGATTCCGTTCAATAGCTGATTTTTCAACTCCATGGTCTGGAATATCAGCAGCCAACTCAGCCAACTCAGCCAACTTTTGTTAAACACTCAGCCACTCGGCACGGTGGCTGAGTGGATAGCACTCTCGCCTCTCAGCAAGAAGGTCCTGGGTTCGAATCCCGGTCGGACCAGGGCCTTTCTGAGTGGAGTTTGCATGTTCTCCCCGTGTCTGCGTAGGTTTCCTCCGGGTACTCCGGTTTCCCCTACCACTAAAAATATGTCCAATAGTTCTAGCATGCGCCTCCTGTACCGGCCCCGCTCCCATCTCTGTGTGGAGTGAGAGATAAATGCCCAAAATTAACAATTGTAAACCGCTTTGAGACTCTGATCTGCAGTGAAAAGGCGGTATATAAATAAAGATTACTTACTACTACTACTTACTACTACTTAATATTCAAGTTATATTCCATTATTGAATCTGGTTTTCCCAGCTCTACTGACAGGAGTCACCAACCTTTGTGACTCTGAGAGCTACTTTCTCGAGACAAACACAGGCAAAGAGCTACTGCTTAAAGAGCGACTAAACACCAAATCAACTTTTTTTAACTCATAAACTGCATAAGTATGTTTATTGTAGTGCTGTCTACATATCCTGGTCATTTTTTTGACATTTTAGTTCAAATTAGATAAAATATCACTTTTGAGCCAAAAAACGTCTGTGTGGCGCCAACCTTTTTGGTGGTACTACATTTGAATTTGGTCCTGGCCTCTCCATTGACTCTGAAGTTCTCTATGACATCAGTTGTTTTGTGTGACGTCAGTCTGTCAGAGCCAGTGATATGAACCCATTCAACTCTCACACAGCCCCAGCTGCAGTTTGGAGTATTCTGGCGCCATCTAGTGGATTAAAATTAAATTACATGAGTCATTCTGAGATTATTGTGTGTGATTAGGTTCAGGTGTGTAGCTTTACAATTATCTTAGTGTGTAAACAAGGGTGGGATGAGACTTTCTGGGCTGTAAACTATTGCTTTAAGCAGCAATGACAACTGTCTGTTTTTTTTGTGTGTGACAAGTGAGCTGTCAATCACAGCCCAGACCACGCCCAGCTCTAAGCCCCCCTTCTTGTCCCTTGGTCCTCCAGGCAACGCCCTTTTTAGAGAATTTTTTCAAATCTTCATGTGGGTGGAGTAAAGCTGGGCACAGGTGTTTAGTCGCTCTTTAAACTGTCTGGGAGGGACTGGAACTCACTCAGAGGCAGTGAGTTCCAGGCCCCTCCCAGAGAGAGGCAGTGAGTTCCAGGCCCCTCCCAGAGAGAGGCAGTGAGTTCCAGGCCCCTCCCAGAGAGAGGCAGTGAGTTCCAGGCCCCTCCCAGACAGAGGCAGTGAGTTCCAGGCCCCTCCCAGAGAGAGGCAGTGAGTTCCAGGCCCCTCCCAGAGAGAGGCAGTGAGTTCCAGGCCCCTCCCAGAGAGAGGCAGTGAGTTCCAGGCCCCTCCCAGAGAGAGGCAGTGAGTTCCAGGCCCCTCCCAGAGAGAGGCAGTGAGTTCCAGGCCCCTCCCAGAGAGAGGCAGTGAGTTCCAGGCCCCTCCCAGACAGAGGCAGTGAGTTCCAGGCCCCTCCCAGAGAGAGGCAGTGAGTTCCAGGCCCCTCCCAGAGAGAGGCAGTGAGTTCCAGGCCCCTCCCAGACAGAGGCAGTGAGTTCCAGCCCCTCTAAAGCCTAGTGTACACTTGTGCGGCGCGGCTTACGCAGATTCAAACAAAGACAGGAACAGTGTAAAAGAAGCGACTGCACAGTTTATAAGTTATATATATGTTAGATATAAGTTATATATATGTTAGATATAAGTTATATATATGTTAGATATAAGTTATATATATGTTAGATGGTCCACAGTCTCCTGTATATCAGGCTCTGAGCCCAAACTGCTTTTCCTTCTAAGTACAAAGCTCTCTGCTCCATAGTGCCTCGTCCATTGTCCCTGCTGCAGCCGCTTCATGCTTCCTTCCAATACACACACACGGACCAATCACAGCGGAGCTTCCTTACGGCGACCCTTATGTAGTTAGAACATTTCGAGCTTGCGCGGCAGGCAACGTAAGGCCCTTGCAGTGATCCACGCGTTGCGCAAGTGACGTCACGTCACCACCGTAAGCTCCGCACCGCGCATGTATACACTAGGCTTAAGACAGAGAGTTCCAGGCCCCTCCCAGACAGAGGCAGTGAGTTCTAGTCCCCCCCAGACAGAGGCAGTGAGTTCTAGTCCCCCCCAGACAGAGGCAGTGAGTTCTAGTCCCTCCCAGACAGAGGCATTGAGTTCTAGTCCCCCCCAGACAGAGACAGTGAGTTCTAGTCCCCCCCCAGACAGAGGCAGTGAGTTCTAGTCCCTCCCAGACAGAGGCAGTGAGTTCTAGTCCCCCCCAGACAGAGGCAGTGAGTTCTAGTCCCCCCCAGACAGAGGCAGTGAGTTCTAGTCCCTCCCAGACAGAGGCATTGAGTTCTAGTCCCCCCCAGACAGAGACAGTGAGTTCTAGTCCCCCCCAGACAGAGGCAGTGAGTTCTAGTCCCTCCCAGACAGAGGCAGTGAGTTCTAGTCCCCCCCAGACAGAGGCAGTGAGTTCTAGTCCCCCCCAGACAGAGGCAGTGAGTTCTAGTCCCTCCCAGACAGAGGCATTGAGTTCTAGTCCCCCCCAGACAGAGACAGTGAGTTCTAGTCCCCCCCAGACAGAGGCAGTGAGTCCTAGTCCCTCCCAGACAGAGGCAGTGAGTTCTAGTCCCCCCCAGACAGAGGCAGTGAGTTCTAGTCCCCCCCAGACAGAGGCAGTGAGTTCTAGTCCCCCCCAGATAGAGGCAGTGAGTTCTAGTCCCTCCCAGAGAGAGCCAGTGAGTTCTAGTCCCTCCCAGACAGAGGCAGTGAGTTCTAGTCCCTCCCAGAGAGAGGCAGTGAGTTCTAGTCCCTCCCAGAGAGAGGCAGTGAGTTCTAGTCCCTCCCAGACAGAGGCAGTGAGTTCTAGTCCCTCCCAGACAGAGGCAGTGAGTTCTAGTCCCTCCCAGACAGAGGCAGTGAGTTCCAGTCCCTTCCAGGCAGAGGCAGTGGCTCTTAACCCTCACTGTTAGCCCTGATTCCACATGGAGAGGTTGGGCTTTAGTGCCACCGTCTGTCTTCTCTCTCTGGACACTAAAACAAGTAGAATCGATGCTAATTATTTTGTAGGAATCTTGTGAAATGTACTTTTTGTGTGGTTCAGGAGAGAAACCGCTCCAGAGCTCACTCAGCTCAGACTTCTGCAGCGTCGTCCTCTGCTCAGTTAGCGGCTGCTGCCTCGGCCTGGCAACATCTGGAGCCTCTGCGAGCGCCGCACGTCAATGCAGTGAGTAACACACACACACTCACCCACACACACACACTCAGATCATAAACAAACTGTTGTCTGCAGCTGAACTCTGAGGATCCCTGCATCATCTGCCACGACGACATGAGCGAAGAGGACACATGTGTGCTGGAGTGTAGACACAGCTTCCACCATTAGGTACACACACAGAGACACACACACACACACAGAGCTTCCACCTCGAGGTAACACACACACACAGAGCTTCCACCTCGAGGTAACACACACACACAGAGCTTCCACCTCGAGGTAACACACACACACAGAGCTTCCACCTCGAGGTAACACACACACACAGAGCTTCCACCTCGAGGTAACACACACACACACACAGAGCTTCCACCATTAGGTACACACACAGAGACACACACACACACACACACAGAGCTTCCACCTCGAGGTAACACACACACACAGAGCTTCCACCTCGAGGTAACACACACACACAGAGCTTCCACCTCGAGGTAACACACACACACAGAGCTTCCACCTCGAGGTAAACACACACACACACACACACACAGAGCTTCCACCATTAGGTACACACACAGAGACACACACACACACACACAGAGCTTCCACCATTAGGTAAACACACAGAGACACACACACACACACACAGAGCTTCCACCTCAAGGTAACACACACACACACACAGAGCTTCCACCTCAAGGTCAAGGTAACACATACACCCAAACACACAATGAAGCAGCTGGAGCGAGGCTTACATGTTTCATTGATAAAAATCACAAAACTTTCTTTAGAGCAATATTGAATTGTGGCCCAAATATCACAATACGATCAAATCCTCACATTTTTCCAATTCACTCAGAATGTTTTTATTTCAGTGCATTCGCTCGTGGCTGAAGGAGCAGAGCACATGTCCCACCTGCAGAGGACACTCTGCTGCAAGAGGACTTCCCTGCTCTGTCTTCCAAGAGACACATCTGAGTCCTGTGTCCCCAAAGAGACACATCTGAGTCCTGTGTCCCCAAAGAGACACATCTGAGTCCTGTGTCCTCCAAGAGACACATCTGAGTCCTGTGTCCTCCAAGAGACACATCTGAGTCCTGTGTCCTCCAAGAGACACATCTGAGTCCTGTGTCCCCAAAGAGACACATCTGAGTCCTGTGTCCTCCAAGAGACACATCTGAGTCCTGTGTCCTCCAAGAGACACATCTGAGTCCTGTGTCCTCCAAGAGACACATCTGAGTCCTGTGTCCTCCAAGAGACACATCTGAGTCCTGTGTCCTCCAAGAGACACATCTGAGTCCTGTGTCCTCCAAGAGACACATCTGAGTCCTGTGTCCTCCAAGAGACACATCTGAGTCCTGTGTCCCCAAAGAGACACATCTGAGTCGTGTGTGTGTGTGTCCCCAAAGAGACACATCTGAGTCGTGTGTGTGTGTGTCCCCCATGTGTGTCGTGTGTGTGTGTCCCCCATCTATAACCTGTAATATTTGAGTTTCATGTTTTATCTCATATGTTATTCACATTTTTGTAATGATCTGAGTTGCATCTTTAAATGGGGAACTGTTTTTTTTGTCATAACACACACAGCTTTCAGTCAGGTAACGACAACACACACAGCTTTCAGTCAGGTAACGACAACACACACAGCTATCACACGTCCTCACACACCTGAGTCCTGTCCCTCGGCGAATCCACCAATCACAAACTTTTACTTTTATAGTTTTATCTCATTTATCACATGTTCTGATGAAACATTCTCCAGTTTGTTTTATATTCTTTATTTTAATCTTGCATGTACATTGTTTATACAAAATACAATAAAATACTTTTGTTTAGTACCGGCTTTTGTCTTAACTGCACAAGGACCAGACAGAGAGATGTTAGAAAGTGCCAAACAAAAAAAGAAATAACTAAAAAAATACATTAAAAAGAGAAAATCCCTGTTGTAGTGAATCAAATCTGTCTTTAACCTGTATTTGAACGTTCCCAGATAAAGCCTGTCCCACATTTTCAGAAAGCTACTGTCGCCCCCGGTCTGCGGGGGCGACAGTAGCTCAGTTGGTAAAAGCATTGGCCTTAAGGCCAGAAGGTCGTGGGTTCAATTCCCACCTCTACACCTTCTCCACCGACTCCCACTGATGACTGCTGTCGTTGTGTCCTTGGGCAAGACACTTAACCCCACTTTGCCCAAAGCCCCCACTGGAAGATCTCAGCTCCTGTGGACTCACCACCTGCAGAGGGTCAGTGAGGGGCTGGTGCTATGAGACTTGGGTGGCATCTCTGACTGCCACCCCCCTGACCCAGAAATGGATTCAAGGGTAGAAAATGGATGGATGGATGGATGTTCTGCATTTGTTTCAGGCAGCTAAAACCTGATAAGTTGCAACTTCAACCTTCGCACTATTCATGTCACGACAAATTAACACAGTGACGCAAAAGAAATTATTACGTTTAAAAAATAAATCAGAGTAATAGTAATCTTGCAGCACAAATACTATGGATACTGTAAATACTACAGAATCAAACTTCAAGAATTTACTATTGTTCTCCATCTCTTAACGCTGTCCCTGCGCAAGAGAAGCAGTCCCACAACATGATGCTGCCACCCCCCACAGGACTGTATAAGTTAAAACCGTCTCAACTGACCACAGAACCATCCTGTACAAGTAGAACCCTAATCCTGCTTTTTTTCCCCTCCAACACCGGCTTTCGATTCACCACTCGTCCATAAAAGCCAGATTGGTGTGGAGTAAGATTTATGACAGCCGAGTGTTGGTAGATTAGCAGTTGTGTTATACTCTTTCCATTCCCAGATGGTGGATTAATCCCTCTGTCAGTGGTTAATCCAAGCTGTTTTTTTCAAGGCGTAATGATCACTAAAGCTTCACATATGTCCAGTGACATACCATAAGATTGAACTTTTACTGTTAACTGGTATAAGCCGTCTCTCACATTGTAATTATGTGAGTAAGTCTGGGTTGCGCCTGTAAATGAACTGGATTTTATTGTCAGAAAGTAGAAAAGTACTTTCGGCTCCTCCTGGCTTCATAGTCTCTCTTCACACACATTGAATTAGGATGTGAGGAATAAGCCTAGACTCAGATTGGCCAGACATTTTGGCACAGTCTAAGATGCTAATATAATCTTAGATAGATAGATAGATAGATAGATAGATACTTTATTCATCCCAGCGAGGGGAAATTCAGTTGTCCTTAGTAGCAAAACAGCGGATAAAAAAGACAATACATTTAAATATAATAAAAAATTAAAACCCCCACACATTTACATCAGCGATGATCGTTATAAAATCGAATTGCAGCAGGGATGAAGGATCTCCGGAAGCGCTCAGTCCTGCTGTATACGGAGAGGAAACGATCCGATCGATTGCTCTTCTGAGCAGACAGAGTCCCATGCAGAGGGTGCCTGGAGTTACTAAGGATGGCCTGGACCTTTCTCCCCATGCACCTCTCAACCACTGCCTCAACAGAGTCCAGTGACCCCCCAACCACTGACCCCGCTCTCTTAACCAGTTTGTCCAGCCTGTTACGGTTTTTGACCGATATATTGTTGCCCCAACTAATGACAGCATAAAAGAGAACAGCAGCCACAACAGAATGGTAAAACATAGACAACATTTGATTACACACATCAAAGGACTTCAGCCTCCTCAGAAAAAAGAGCCTGGTCTGACCCCTTTTGTAGAACGCCTCTGTGTTGATGTTCCAGTCCAATTTATCATCCAGGTGAACACCTAGATATTTGTATGTGTGCACGCGTTCGATGTCCTGTCCATGAATATTTATTGGCTGTAAAGTGTTCTTTTTCTTGCCAAAGTAGATAGTCATTTCTTTGGTCTTGTTAGTGTTCAGAGTAAGTGAGTTCTTGGTGCTCCAATCACAGAATGCAGTGATCAAGTTCCTGTACTCCTCTTCCTGGTTATTTCTGACATAGGCCACAATGGCTGTGTCATCCGAGTACTTCTGAACATGACAAGTGTCAGAGTGGTACTTGAAGTCAGATGTATAGATGGTAAAGAGAAAAGGAGCAAGAACCGTTCCTTGTGGAGCCCCAACATTACTCACGACATAATCCGAAGTGGTGTGGCCAAGCCTCACGCACTGAGGCCGGCCCGTCAGATAGTTATGGATCCACGTGATGAAGATCCGGTCAACCCCTAACCTCTCCAGCTTTTGTTTGAGGATGTCTGGTTGAATTGTGTCGAATGCACTTGAAAAATCAAAGAACATTATCCTCACATATCCACCAGATTTATCCAGGAGGGAGTAGGTCCGGTGCAGCAAATACAAATACTTATGGATGTAAAATATAAACCAAAAACACAGTCTGGATCTATAGCCTGTAGAAGGAACTTTGTCCGGGTCCTGGTCTCAAGGTTTCTCATTTTCTCGCTCTGGGTTTTTCAGACCGTGATGATCCATGGAGCCGTCTCCGTGTTTGTTATCGTTGCATTTTCAGTGTTAAAACGGATTGATTCTCTGATCTGTGTTGGTGAATCGACAGCTTTGTAAAGTCCTCAGACATAAAAACTACTGTGATTTAGGGCGATACTGTCTCGTCCCTCCCTGATGTGAGTCCATGTGGAGGGAATCCACAACCCAGAGCAGGCCTCAGACTCTGCACTGAGGGGACGGTCTCTGTGATGGGGCCCCAGGACTGAGGTCTGAGGGGCCCTAAAGCCGGTCTCAGACTCTGCACAGTTTCAGAGGGAAGTTCTCTGTGATCAGGTGGTCGTCTTGAAGCACGATGACGATGTTCACCTCAAACTCTAGAGAAAAAAAACAAATTCTGATTAACACTAGGAGACGACTAAAACTCCCAGAGCCGCCATTTTGACTGCTCCCATTCAAACCAATCACCTGTAACCTGTAAAGCATGAGGTTTCTGCTAATTCTCCAATGCACGTCTTTTACACCGAGAGACAGACACTTAGAGAAAGATAGACAGACCGAGGAAGACAGAGAGACAGACACTTAGAGAAAGATAGACAGACCGAGGAAGACAGAGAGACAGACACTTAGAGAAAGATAGACAGACCGAGGAAGACAGAGAGACAGATACTTAGAGAAAGATAGACAGACCGAGGAAGACAGAGAGACAGACACTTAGAGAAAGATAGACAGACCGAGGAAGACAGAGAGACAGACACTTAGAGAAAGATAGACAGACCGAGGAAGACAGAGAGACAGATACTTAGAGAAAGATAGACAGACCGAGGAAGACAGAGAGACAGACACTTAGAGAAAGATAGACAGACCGAGGAAGACAGAGAGACAGACACTTAGAGAAAGATAGACAGACCGAGGAAGACAGAGAGACAGACACTTAGAGAAAGATAGACAGACCGAGGAAGACAGAGAGACAGACACTTAGAGAAAGATAGACAGACCGAGGAAGACAGAGAGACAGATACTTAGAGAAAGATAGACAGACCGAGGAAGACAGAGAGACAGACACTTAGAGAAAGATAGACAGACCGAGGAAGACAGAGAGACAGATACTTAGAGAAAGATAGACAGACCGAGGAAGACAGAGAGACAGACACTTAGAGAAAGATAGACAGACCGAGGAAGACAGAGAGACAGACACTTAGAGAAAGATAGACAGACCGAGGAAGACAGAGAGACAGATACTTAGAGAAAGATAGACAGACCGAGGAAGACAGAGAGACAGACACTTAGAGAAAGATAGACAGACCGAGGAAGACAGAGAGACAGACACTTAGAGAAAGATAGACAGACCGAGGAAGACAGAGAGACAGATACTTAGAGAAAGATAGACAGACCGAGGAAGACAGAGAGACAGACACTTAGAGAAAGATAGACAGACCGAGGAAGACAGAGAGACAGACACTTAGAGAAAGATAGACAGACCGAGGAAGACAGAGAGACAGACACTTAGAGAAAGATAGACAGACCGAGGAAGACAGAGAGACAGACACTTAGAGAAAGATAGACAGACCGAGGAAGACAGAGAGACAGATACTTAGAGAAAGATAGACAGACCGAGGAAGACAGAGAGACAGACACTTAGAGAAAGATAGACAGACCGAGGAAGACAGAGAGACAGATACTTAGAGAAAGATAGACAGACCGAGGAAGACAGAGAGACAGACACTTAGAGAAAGATAGACAGACCGAGGAAGACAGAGAGACAGACACTTAGAGAAAGATAGACAGACCGAGGAAGACAGAGAGACAGATACTTAGAGAAAGATAGACAGACCGAGGAAGACAGAGAGACAGATACTTAGAGAAAGATAGACAGACCGAGGAAGACAGAGAGACAGATACTTAGAGAAAGATAGACAGACCGAGGAAGACAGAGAGACAGACACTTAGAGAAAGATAGACAGACCGAGGAAGACAGAGAGACAGACACTTAGAGAAAGATAGACAGACCGAGGAAGACAGAGAGACAGATACTTAGAGAAAGATAGACAGACCGAGGAAGACAGAGAGACAGACACTTAGAGAAAGATAGACAGACCGAGGAAGACAGAGAGACAGATACTTAGAGAAAGATAGACAGACCGAGGAAGACAGAGAGACAGACACTTAGAGAAAGATAGACAGACCGAGGAAGACAGAGAGACAGACACTTAGAGAAAGATAGACAGACCGAGGAAGACAGAGAGACAGATACTTAGAGAAAGATAGACAGACCGAGGAAGACAGAGAGACAGACACTTAGAGAAAGATAGACAGACCGAGGAAGACAGAGAGACAGATACTTAGAGAAAGATAGACAGACCGAGGAAGACAGAGAGACAGACACTTAGAGAAAGATAGACAGACCGAGGAAGACAGAGAGACAGACACTTAGAGAAAGATAGACAGACCGAGGAAGACAGAGAGACAGACACTTAGAGAAAGATAGACAGACCGAGGAAGACAGATAGACAGACACTTAGAGAAAGATAGACAGACCGAGGAAGACAGAGAGACAGACACTTAGAGAAAGATAGACAGACCGAGGAAGACAGAGAGACAGACACTTAGAGAAAGATAGACAGACCGAGGAAGACAGAGAGACAGATACACACCATGAGCGTGCGTTTAACTGGAGCAGACTCACCCAGAAGTTGGTGGTCTCCAGGGTGGGGCAGGTGAAGAGTCGGGGGAAAACCATGTAGATGGGGATAGAGAGACCGTGGCACACGTCGCCCTCCGCGATCTGGATGTTCTGGATTTCTGTGGCGTCGCGGGCGTAACCCTCCGCACAACCTGAAGCAAACAACGAGCTCATCATCAAACCAGGAAGAATACTGCATTTAGAAGCACCATCGCATTAGTCCTGACTAGAACTAGGAAGTACCATCGCGTTAGTCCAGACTAGAACCAGGAAGTACCATCACGTTAGTCCAGACTAGAACCAGGAAGTACCATCACGTTAGTCCAGACTAGAACCAGGAAGTACCATCACATTAGTCCAGACTAGAACCAGGAAGTACCATCACATTAGTCCTGACTAGAACCAGGAAGTACCATCACATTAGTCCAGACTAGAACCAGGAAGTACCATCCCATTAGTCCTGACTAGAACCAGGAAGTACCATCACATTAGTCCAGACTAGAACCAGGAAGTACCATCACGTTAGTCCAGACTAGAACCAGGAAGTACCATCACGTTAGTCCAGACTAGAACCAGGAAGTACCATCCCATTAGTCCTGACTAGAACCAGGAAGTACCATCACATTAGTCCAGACTAGAACCAGGAAGTACCATCACGTTAGTCCAGACTAGAACCAGGAAGTACCATCCCATTAGTCCTGACTAGAACCAGGAAGTACCATCACGTTAGTCCAGACTAGAACCAGGAAGTACCATCTCATTAGTCCTGACTAGAACCAGGAAGTACCATCACATTAGTCCTGACTAGAACCAGGAAGTACCATCACATTCATCCTGACTAGAACCAGGAAGTACCATCACATTAGCACTTGTCACTCCCGTATTCGTCCCGGAAACCGGATTTGTCCGGAAGTTCAGTTTGATCCAATGAACATACGCAGCAGTAGATTACGTCACAGAATCTGGACGGAAGCGGAAGTAAATATAAAAAACTAAACTTAACCAGCCATTCCCATAAAATAACCCCAACCCAGCCTTAACCCTAAACTTAACCATCTTACTTAGACGCCTAAAACTTAACCAGTCTCCACTTAAGGACTTAAGGACACTTTTTGACATGCGCAAACTGAACTTCCGGACGAATCCGGTTTCCGGGACGAATACGGGAGTGACAAGGACTGACTAGAACCAGGAAGTACCATCACATTAGTCTTGACTAGAACCAGGAAGTACCATCACATTCATCCTGACTAGAACCAGGAAGTACCATCACATTCATCCTGACTAGAACCAGGAAGTACCATCACATTAGTCTTGACTAGAACCAGGAAGTACCATCACATTCATCCTGACTAGAACCAGGAAGTACCATCACATTCATCCTGACTAGAACCAGGAAGTACCATCACATTCATCCTGAATAGAACCAGGAAGTATAGTCCCGAACACTATATAGTTCGGGACTATATAGTGACTGAGTGAGTGAGTGGACTCATTCTGATGGCGACTCGGACACTGCACACTATTTTCAGGCCGTGAAGCCGTACGTGAAGCGTCCCTCAGTAGCAAGTATCATGGAGTGGAGAGGGGAGCGGCCATGATGAGGTAAAGGTAAAAGTTGAATTAACATAACCTCTTAAACTCCTACATCTGTTTTGGCTCGTGCACCAAAGTTTGGCAAACCCAAATGTCTTTGCTTATTTAAAAACACATCTTACATCTCACATGCTTGTGTGATGCATCATTTTAAAGCTAGGCCCTTCTAGTTTATTTAAATATACACTGAAATAATGTTTGTCATTCCTATTTCACTCTGCATCCTTTGAAGTTTGGGAAAAAAACCTGTTTTTTTAGCCTCGCCTAAAAAATTCAATGTATATATGCCCTAAAAAAGCCTACTTCATTGGAAGAAGAACATATTCAAAGCTAATTTGTTCATTGTGTTGTTGACAACAACTGTGTAAAGTTTCAGACTTCTAAGTTTTATAGTTTTTATGCAGTTTTTTTTTTATCAAGTAGTGCCATTCGGTGCCATGATGTTTGTGGGGGTAAACCAGTGGGGGAGGGTCCCAGCTCAAAAGTGGCCAAAAGTGGATTTATTTTTCTGTATTTCTACAATTACATGAAGGCAAAAAAATGGAAGTTAAACTAAAGCAGAGTCGTCACGTGTTGCGTCATTCACAACACGCTGCAGTGAAAATACACATTTGATAATCATGAATGATTATTATGTATTTGTAGCCTTTACTTTGTCATTTAGATATTAGGCTAATATAGCTAATACATCTTGCAGCCTGTGTTAACTTCATAAAAGCCTCATACAAGGCTGTTATTTTTTTGGGGCTCCAGACAGATGTTGTTTTTAGTTTTTTTGTCAATTATGGCTCTTTGAACATTTTGGGTTCCCGACCCCTGCGCTAGCACATACACAACTGTGGTCAGCCCGACCCACAAGCGGCTCAATAAGTTAATATTCCGCTTTATTTTCTTTATGTCTTCAGTCGAACCTTTTGCCAAGGCCTCATTATATCACTAATGTGCCCCGTTTTATTTATTCGGCTGTTTAGACCCACTTTTTAGAACTTTTGCACTATTCGCCCAAGCGGCAGTAGCCTTTTGAGTTAGTTATCTTGAAACCCTTACCTGTTGCGCAACAACCCTTCCCTTGATATTTGAATATGTTTCAACTTTGTATTAAAGTTTGACTGTTTTGATTTATACTTAAAGTGCACTTTTGTTTGACCTACCTCGATACTTTTGATAGACATTAACTTTAGTGTTTATATTGTTTACTTGAATTGTGTTTTTTATCATTAAGTCCTGATGATATGTTTTGAATGTTACTGTGGATTACAATACTTACCTTACCCTGTGGATTACAATACTTACCTTACCCTGTGGATTACAATACTTACCTTACCCTGTGGATTACAATACTTACCTTACCCTGTGGATTACAATATTTACCTTGCCCTGTGGATTACAATACTTACCTTACCCTGTGGATTACAATACTTACCTTACCCTGTGGATTACAATACTTACCTTACCCTGTGGATTACAATACTTACCTTACCCTGTGGATTACAATATTTACCTTGCCCTGTGGATTACAATACTTACCTTACCCTGTGGATTACAATACGTACCTTACCCTGTGGATTACAATACTTACCTTACCCTGTGGATTACAATACTTACCTTACCCTGTGGATTACAATACTTACCTTACCCTGTGGATTACAATACTTACCTTACCCTGTGGATTACAATACTTACCTTACCCTGTGGATTACAATACTTACCTTACCCTGTGGATTACAATACTTACCTTGCCCTGTGGATTACAATACTTACCTTACCCTGTGGATTACAATATTTACCTTGCCCTGTGGATTACAATACTTACCTTGCCCTGTGGATTACAATACTTACCTTACCCTGTGGATTACAATACTTACCTTACCCTGTGGATTACAATACTTTCTTTGCCCTGTGGATTACAATACTTACCTTACCCTGTGGATTACAATACTTACCTTGCCCTGTGGATTACAATATTTACCTTGCCCTGTGGATTACAATATTTACCTTGCCCTGTGGATTACAAATACAGACAATACCTCATTGAACTCGAATACTTTTTTTGAACTTTTGAACTATTTTTATTTACTTTTTGAAGGACACCTTTTGTTGTAATTGTATATTATAATTGTTTATTCATTAATACATATATATATTACATACCAATTTATATCATTCTATATCTGATCTATAAAAAATACTTGAATACAATTATTTTACAAAAACTGAACTTACCTATTGTGATTATTCACTCACCTTGGCTCCCTGTCGTTCCTATGTCTGATACTAACCTCGCAGTCGTTCCGCCCTAGCCCTAAAGGCGCGTTTCAGACCAAAAGCTTCAAAAAGCTTTTGACGCGCTTCAACTGACGTCGGGATAGTTTTGTCATTTTGGTGCTTGAAGCTTTTGACGCAAGTGAGGCGCCTGACGCCGGTGGGAGGAGCTTCTCTGTTGTCTGTGGGAGGAGCTTCTCTGTTGTCTGTGGGAGGAGCTTCTCTGTTGTCTGTCGGAGGAGCTTCTCTGTTGCCGGTGGGAGGAGCTTCTCTGTTGTCTGTGGGAGGAGCTTCTCTGTTGCCGGTGGGAGGAGCTTCTCTGTTGTCTGTGGGAGGAGCTTCTCTGTTGTCTGTGGGAGGAGCTTCTCTGTTGTCTGTAGTCAGGACAGCGGTGGATTTTTCAATGAGCAGCGAGCCTTTATTTGTTATATAAAGCAAAATAACGTTGTTGTAGGGCTTCAACAAAACATGTTCTGGGTTCACCACAGACTTGAGAGGCTGCAGTGTTTGCAGAGTTCCGTCATTTACTCCAGGAGCTGTGTACGGAGGAGTTTTGCTTTCAGTGGTACTTCCGCATGTCACTCGCCCAGTCTGAGTTCTCAAACCCCGGAGCTCGCCTCTCCCTGCCTCTCCCTGGCTCTCGCCCTCCTCTCCCTGCCTCTCCCCGGCTCTCGCCCTCCTCTCCCTGCCTCTCCCCGGCTCTCGCCCTCCTCTCCCTGCCTCTCCCCGCCTCTCCCTGCCTCTCCCTGCCTCTCCCCGCCTCTCCCCGGCTCTCGCCCTCCTCTCCCTGCCTCTCCCCTGCTCTCGCCCTCCTCTCCCTGCCTCTCCCCGGCTCTCCCTGCCTCTCTCCGGCTCTCCCTGCCTCTCGCTCGCCTCTCCCTGCCTCTCCCCGGCTCTCGCCCTCCTCTCCCTGCCTCTCGCTCGCCTCTCGCTCGCCTCTCCCTGCCTCTCTCCCTGCCTCCTCCCTGCCTCTCGCTCGCCTCTCCCTGCCTCTCGCTCGCCTCTCCCTGCCTCTCGCTCGCCTCTCCCTGCCTCTCGCTCGCCTCTCCCTGCCTCTCGCTTGCCTCTCCCTGCCTCTCCCTCCTCTCCCTGCCTCTCCCTGCCTCTCCCTGCCTCTCCCCGGCTCTCGCTCGCCTCTCCCGGCCTCTCGCTCGCCTCTCCCTGCCTCTCCCCGGCTCTCGCCCTCCTCTCCCTGCCTCTCCCTGCCTCTCGCTCGCCTCTCCCTGCCTCTCCCCGGCTCTCGCTCGCCTCTCCCTGCCTCTCGCTCGCCTCTCCCTGCCTCTCCCCGGCTCTCGCCCTCCTCTCCCTGCCTCTCC